CCGAGACGCTTGATCGTCGAGGTCACGGTCACGAGAGCCAGCTCATGAAAGCTAATGGACACGATTCAAAATTGTTTTCCAGTCATTGAATCGCTTTACCGTAATGAAAATCTTTGTTTACGCTTTAAAATATACTGAGGAGCATAACTGAACCGATATTGAAGCTGATGAAAAACTGTCGATATTTGAAATTATTATAATTCGTCGTATAACTTGGTTCTCGTTTCAAAGCGCTTGGCTTCGATTTCCTTTGAAAAATCGTAAAAAAATTCATACGTCTGTAAAAGCATCATGGTTTTCATAATTATAATAATAACCGTTTAAATTTCCCACTTGAATTTGCTGCAACGAAATATTAAGATTTCTTGAATTTATATTGTTTAACCCTGATATTCAATAAATTAAGAAAAAAATTGGGGATGTTATAAAGAGAAAATTTCAATCTTCGAAACCATGTGTTCTATTTGCGAAAAAGTGTTTTTTAGAAATACTGGATTAATTGTGCCAATATTATTATGTATATTTTTGCATACTTTAATATTAACGACAATAATTGATACGTGATCTGTAATTATTGATTGTGCTAAATCCTAGATTCTATTGATCATCATTGAATAGAAATTTCATTATCTACACTCTCTCTTCTTTATGCAATTTCGAAATTTTCTATAAATACATCAAGATTTACAGTTCGACCGTTCTATTCTAATTAGTATTCGAATAATCGACATTCTAACCCTACAGCGGAATTCCATTGAAATTCAGGTAATTTTCACCCGACGAATAAATTATTTTTTGACTACTTAGTCAAGGACAAGTTACGCAATACATCGATACATCGAGGACTCGGTGTCACTCGGCGTTGCTATCACTAGAAGCAAGAGTGTCCTATTACGCGGCGTCAAGTACACGTGTAACTTCCTTGTAATCTTCTCAACTTTTTATGTCAGCAGACATGAAACGCGCCAGAAACGTTATCTACCATAAATGCACCGTCATTAACGGTTATCGGAATTTAGTAATCGCGCGTATTTGCCGAACGGAAAACGACAATCTCAGCTGTCCAGCTAGCTCGGACTTTGTCGTCACGCGACAGCCACATAATCAAATATTTCGAGGCTCCTTCCAATTTTCCTCGGTAAAAAATGCGAAACTTTATCTACTACTCGTATTTCGATTATACGACTGTCTAGATTTACATATTTCTTCGATTTTTTATTATTATTATTATTATTATTTTTCTCAACATTATTAAGCTGACGCATAATGATAAACGATCTATTTCGAAGCGAAACCTCTTCGTAGCGAAGATCTCACACGTTGAAAAAAA